TTGGTCCTCTGGGGCAACTGGGCAACATTGATGATATAGTAAGCTGAGGAGAGAAAAGTGGCAGCAACTGGCTTTTGAAGATATGCCAAACATTACAGGATGTTTGCCAGCACATGGTGGGAGGTCAGATGCTTAGAGATATTTTCCCTGAAGGCATTCACACATCAGTCTGGTCCACTCTAGGTGGGGCTCATGCCCTACTGATAAGGATAGTAATTGTTTCCATGGAGAGCCAGAGAACAGGTCAAACCTGCTCAGTGACATCCAAAGTTAGGCTGCCATCCTGAATCTAGGATCTGCCCATCTTGTCACATGTATACCCCCAATCCCTCCCCTTCCTATTGCATATACACCCCTAGATCATCTCCCTCCCCTTACTGTATTACCTATAGTACAACCCCTTCCTGTGACCTATGTCTTTACCTGTAATTAGGAGGCTTGCACACACCCAACGGTATATAAGCCTTGGTCCAAAATAAAGAGCCTTCTCTCTCCCCAGTACTCTCTTACCCCATCCTCGCTCCCCTGTACCCTCTCCCCTTGTCCTCCTTCCCCTCTCTCTTTCTCCTGCAATTCCCATCTTCCATCTCCATGTGGACCAGCAAGCAGGGCTGCGGTGAGCATGCTATCATGAAATGTGTCTGACTCCATTATTTCAATCTCTCTTCTATCTCTCCTTGTTTTCTATGACTTTACTATAATCTTTACTTATTATCGCTGTACAATTGCATCTACCGGACCCATGATGATGTGCTAGGGGCTAGCTCCCCTGACAACAAGTATGCCCACAGACTCTAAGACATAGGAAGTTGAAATAAGAGTTGTACGAGCCCCAATAAAATGATTCAAACAAACCAACAACGACACAGGAAGGTGGGGACAGCCATAGACCTGTAGGCTCTGTTGCCTGTGCCTATGCAGGAAGAAGCAGAGGAAAGGGCTGGTGTATCAAATGGACCTGGGAGCATGAAAGTTCCAAAATAACCAACGGAAAGTTCAGTGGGCCAGTGTGAGAACTTGAGCTCCATCTGGGAGGGATTTTGCCTTTTTTTCCATAGAGAGTAAGTGCCAGGAGCCAACTTAAAGGGCCTCCAGCCAACTGAAGGGCGGCAGGAGTCTGACCTTGCTTCTGAGTAGTAAGGAATCATGTTAAAAGTAGGCTCTACAACACTGAACGTTATTTAGCCTAGTGTCTTGTGTACAGAAAACGTATAGTCACTACCTGGTGGGGCCTTCCCGAGGAGAACTACCCACTATGCTGCATGCCCGCTGTACAGGACTCGGGACTCTTGAGACTGGCCAGCATCCTTCTAGGTCAGGGACCCATGAGGAGGGGGAATTTTGAGAGCAGAACCAACATTGAACTGAACTAAGACAAAAGAGAAAGGAAAAGAAGCGTCTGGTTTTTTTAATGAGGAGAATAGGAAACCCCAGAATTTGTGATTTGTGGATAGGCATATCACAAAAACTTCCAAAAGAGGGACTTTTATGTTGCCAGCTGTTCCAACTTCTGAATGAACTCTGCCACCTAATAAAAGTTCAAGAAAACTAACTCTACATGAACATGAGCAACAGAAAAGGACTAAGGTCAAATCCCATATAAATACTGTTAGAAGAAAGAGAGTAGAGCTGAATCACATTAATATAAAATTCCATTTCATTTCAGACAATGAAATTACTCCAGAGAGGAAGGTCCTCCAACAAGACCAGACTGTCAGCGCCCCTTGCGAAGGGATGGAGAGACAGTAGAAACGTCATGACAGCACAGGAAGGGCAGCACGAGTCAGCATGATAAGGACTCAGAAATGAGGGAGATAGGGCTCAGCAAAGAATTACAGATAAAACAATCATTTCAGAAATAAAAACTGAATTAGAAGGAATGCAAGAGCACATAAGCACACACCAAAAAAAAAATGCCTTGAAGTTAAGATAAAAAGGTGGAAACTTTTAAAGATAAAAAGGGTTCAAGATAAAGTGACAAACTTGGAAGGTAAGGAAAGAAGATCCAATACACAATAGGATGAGTTCCTGAAATAGACAGGCAAAGGAAGGAGACAGAATAAATATGTATTTTAAATATTCAAAAACTTTCCTAAAATTAACAAATATACACTGAAGATGATATATGAGAAGAGCACACCACATACTTGAGAATACTGATCTAGAATGGTGAACCAGACAGAATACACTAAAATTGGTGGGTTTTACAGGAAAAAAACCTTTGGGCATCCAGGCAAAAAAAGACAATGGCTTATAAGGGAAAGAAAATTAGGTGAGTATCAGATGTTTCAACAATAGCACTTAGGGCTGAAGAACATAGTAATCATTGGCTGCAGAGGCAAACGGCCTTTTGCTTTCTGCATGCATCATGTTCCTGATCTTATCCCACAACTCTCCCCTCTCCGGTGTTAGTCTTCAGTGTGTTAAGTCTGCTCTTGAGATGATCTTGAAATTGAGTGGGGTATACTCAGGGTTGTATTTGGCTCTTGTGGACTTTTGGCTGATGATATTGAGCATTCCTGTCATCTCTTCCCAACATGGAGTCATCTGATTTCTGTGTATTCCATCTGGCAAGGTCCATTTATGTTGTTGGGGGAAAGTCTTTGTAATGAAAAAGTTGTTGGTCTTGCAAAATCCTATCATGGTTTTCAAGCAAATTTTTTACCGATTTCTATCAGCAAAGCAATATTTTTCAATGATTGATCCTTCCTCTTTGTTTCCAGCTTTCATATTCCAATCATCAGTAACTATCAATGTTATCTTGATTGCATGTTTGGTC